AACGGCACAGGATCATGGAAGTATTGTGGGAGGATGGTGTGGATTTAAGAGTTGTGGTGAAGCGTGATGACACAGTGACCATAAGGACCAAGCGCGCCACAGGGCCCTTGCTCTCCCTCCTTAGGGGCTGGGGCCATGAGACGGCCATCCTGACCCCTCACTGGGCCAAACACAGAGGGCGTGCTCAAAAACCCTAGCTGAGCCAGAGGAGACCATCTCTTCCAAAGCCTTCTTTTACAGGTGGGAAAACTGAGGCTCAGGGACCCAAAGTCACAGCCCGTGAGAGGCAGAGCTGGTCCAGGAGCCAGCACTCTTGATCGCCAGGCGGGGCTCAGGCCCTTGCAGCAGCCTGGCTCCAGAACACCCTCTGCTCTCCCCTCACCAGTCGTGGCCTTGGACGGACCCTCAGTTTCTCCTTTGTTCAAGGGGCATAACCACTCCCTGGCAGGCCTGGATGATGAAGGAGAGGATGTATGTAAAGTGCAGCATCCAGCTGAACATTCTAGTGACTGGTTTTTCTGTCCTTTGTCCCCCACCAGCACTGTAACTCGTGGCTCATAGATCATCCTGACCAAGGAAGTTTCCCCTAACAATACCTTTGGTGTCCTTAAGCCCTGAAAACACCCCTGTAATACATGTTCAAAATAAACTCCCTTCATCTAAACCATAAAATAAATGTAAGGAAGTCCAGAAAGTTTCTGATTATTAGCATGATGCTCCATCAGTGCTTTTCAAAAACATCAGATACTACATTTTTGCAAAAACATTTTCCAGTGCTCCTGTCCAGCTGGTGCCTAAGCACGTGCTTTATCTGTTGCATAGATGCATTCTGACAAAACAGAGGTTTAGGGGTGAAAACAGTGCCTTCGGTGTGAGCAAATAAATCTTACTAGTTGGTCTGTCCCGTGGCCTCAGGAGGGAGGGCAGCTAGGGCTTTTGCTGAGTGATCCCCGGCTTCAGGGGATAATCCAGCCCCGCTGACAGTCTAGTTCTGGTTCTGTCACCCACTTCCCGTGCGACCTTGGGCACACCACGGCCCATTTCTGAGCTGTGTGCCCTATCTATGTAAGAAATGGTCAAACTAAAACTGTCTACTTGCTAATGACCCCTTCATGCTGACAGTATGATTCAGCAGCCACTCAAGGCTTATTGGGAAAGCTGCATTCTGGCTCCTGTCTCTGGAGCACTGAGCTCCTGGTGAGGGTGGTGGCTCATTTTGAAATAGAAATAATTAGGCTCCATTACAGCCCTGCAGGTGCTCAGGTCTGGTGGAGCCACAGACATAGAAAGAGACAGAGACACCCCAGTATGATCATAGTGATAACAAATGAAAGCACAGGAACCCTGAAAGCCAGAAAAGAGGGCCCTGAGCCAGCCAAGACCAGCGAAGCTTCCTGGGAGAGGGAGCACTGTGTTGAGTTAGGACAAAGAACAAGGCAAAGAGCAAGGAGTTGCTGTGTGACTAGAGTGAGAAGAAATAAGGCTGCTAGAAGATCCATCTTGGACAGCAGGCTAGGGGGTCATCTTCTATCTTGAAAAATCCTAGTGAACACCGCATGGGAGCCAGAAAACTGGGCTCAAGACCCACCCTGGCTATGAACTTCTCAAGGCTGACCTTGAGAAGACACTCTGTTTCTGGACTTCAGACTCTGCATTTGCCCTCTCCACCACCGTTGTTGGATAGAAGTGGGACAGAGGAGGGAGGGTAAAGGGGTAGAAATGGGCCTGCTGGCTCTGAATTTTTGCACCTCAAACCCCAACTCGGCTTAACTCAGTGACCATCAATCCCAAGTCAGCTCCTCTGAGCTATAAGAACATGTAGGCAAATGCAGTTGGCACCAATTTGGGGTCTGAGGAAAATCCGGTGACTGGCTGAGGCAGTTTGAGTCTGGCGGTCTGGTTAGCTGAGAATTAACTCTTTTCAGTTGGGGTGTAGCAGCTTTGCTTTCCTGTCTGGATACTGCGGGCTGACCTTCAGAACGTTTTTTTTCTTCCAAGGAAGCATTCACAATGGAGTGGTCTGTTCCATGTGTCTTTTGGAAATACATTTTACCAGCCTTCACTCCCTAATGAGAAACCAGGCCACCTAACACGCTAAAAAAATTAAAGAACAAATTGAAATTTCTTTTTTTTTTCAAATTGAAATTTCTGATTACAGCTGCCAATATCAGCTTAGAAATGGAGTAGAAAAGAGAAAAAACTGCCCCAATCTCTTCCCACACAAAAACTTCCAGATTGTCCAGGGAACACGATCTAGAGAGTGAGAGCCCTGGTCTAGGAGTCTGAGGCCTGGGTTTTCCGGTCCTCGCTCTGCAGCTGACTGGCCCTATGTGATCTTGGGCAAGCCCTTGGTCTTCTGGTCTACAAAGAAAAAAGCTGGCTGGACATTTTCAAGTTTGGTATTCTTACGATTCAATGACATGAGAGAGGTTTTAGCACAAGTCAGAGAAACAGGACAGTTCTGGAAAAATCAAGGAGGGAGTCGTTTTAGAAATGGTCAGGGTTGAAGAGGCATGATATAAATGTGACCATGGACTTGCTCCTGTGTCATCTATTCAGAGGGACATCCCAGTGTATGAAAGGAATCAATATGCCCAGTCGGTTGAAGGTCTCCAGTTCTGTGGGTGCTTGGAAGCACACATTTCTCCTTCCTTGACAAGGGGAGTCCCTGGGGTAGGGGCTTGTGCCTTAGGCCCTATCACAAGAATACTGCGTTCGTCTCTGCAACAGTGGACCCCAAGGTCCCTGAGTTTCCAGTTTACTGTGGCACCTTCTTAGCTGGGGCTAGGGAAGTCTACAGGCTAGTGTTCATCAGGAACCCCTGCTCTGCGGCAGCAGCAACTGGGAGGGAGAGAACAAATCGTACCACACAGAAATGCCTTCCAATCTCTGTCTCTGCCACTGGGTAGAATACGCCTTTAACTCTGACTAGCATCAGCAAGTGACTTCTCCAACTAAAGGCATCCTTTGCCATTCCTTTCATTGTAGTAGGACAAAAAGCCATACACAGAGGCAAGATTTAATATATTCAGTTGCTTTTTTGTTTGCTTGCTTCCTTATTTAATTAAGGTATAACTCAGGCGTAATAATGCCTACAATATTAGATACAGATAGAGATCTAGCTATAAATATAGCTCTAGCTCTGGATTCAGACATCAAATACACAGATAGAGATATTGATATACATACAAATATAGATCTATAGGGACACCTGGGTGGCTCAGTCAGTTAAGCGGTTGCCTTTGGCTCAGGTCATGATCTCAGTGTCCCGGGATCGAGCCCCGCGTCAGGCTCCCTGCTCAGCGGAGAGTCTGCTTCTCTCTCTGCCCCTCACCCCTGCTCATGTTCTCTTTCTCCCTCTCTCAAATAAACAAATAAAATTTAAAAAAACCCACAAATATAGATATATAGATATGGATAAATCAGCTAAAGATAGAGCACATTTCCAGCAACCCAGAAGGCTCCCTTGTGTCCAGCCCAGTCAAATCCCCCCACAAAATTTAGCTAATCAAGGCTTGAGTTAAGTTCAGTTTCAGTTTTCCTAAGATTCAGTCTAACTGTGACTTGCTCTTGTTCTTAAGGTATGGCCTCCTGGGCTGTGGGTTGTCAGTGTGGCTGATCTCTGTCTCCTTAGCCCTGAAAAATTATAGATTTGCTTCTACCCTTTGGAGGTTTTGAACTTAAGTCTTTAGCAACCTTGCCACCTACCCCCTCAACACACACACACACACACACACACACACACACACAGAGAGCTTCAGAATTTTTCTTTTCTTTTTTTTTTTTTTACAGCTTCAGAAATTTTGAAAATATTTTTGAGGGTAAGACCATTATGTATTTGAGGGAGGCTCTTTCCCTCTAATCTCTTAAGCATCATGGGATCTATCTTTTAGAAGTCTTTTTATTCTTTGAGAAGCCTTCAGTCCAGCTTCCCAACCTCTTTTGCATAGCCCCCAAATTCAGAAGCTGTCCCATGGGGAAAACTTGTTATGGATTTAGAGTGCCTTAAATTTCCAAAATGTTTTGCAAACCCTTTTTGACTGCCAAAAAGCATTGCTGCTTTTTCCTTCCCTCATCTGTGTCCCTCTGCCTGGGCCAAGTCCAAGCCACACAATGGTCCCCAAATCAAATATTCCCAGAAAAGACAAGAGCTGGTGATTGGCAGTTGACTTTGGAGAGTCCCTCCCCTCTGGAGTTCCAATTCATTTCATCCTCATTGCAGCCATGTTTCTCCAATTTATTAAAAAATGTAATTTGTGTAACTTATCCAGGTTTTCCTAGTTGTTGCAGTGCAAGTGTTGGGCTACCAGGACCTATTACATCCTATACAGGAGTAGAAGTCCAGACATGTAGCTAAAGAGGTATATGGAAGAACTGCTACTCAAGGCATATGAGCAAGAAATAGGTTTAGTAAGTATGTGGGCAGCAGCAGGTTGCAGAAAGCCTTGGAGAAAGCAGCCCTTACAAGATGGTAGCAAGATGGTAGAACTTTGAGTGAGTGCAAAAGTAGAAACCCAAGCTTTAGGACTTGATTTGAGAGAACTGACATCCCAAACTAGATAACATGGGACCTAAGATGAAGACCAGAAGAAATCTTTCCAAGTACTTTTCACAATTATAATTCAAGAATCAACTGTTAAGATCTGACTTTCCCAGTAAGATGTAAACTCTTAAGATAGGAATTTTGCCTGCCTTCTTTCTTTCATCACTGTGTCACATGAGCACAGCATAATGACTTCCATTTGGTAAGTTATTATTAACTTGTAATTAATATTTGACCAAAGAAGAAAGGTAGGAATTTTGGATTCACATGGTAGAAATTAATAAATACCATAACCTACAATCAGTCTTCTAGAATTGGCTGTAAATAATTGTGCTTATATTAACTATAAACATTACAAAATCTCATTCCAGAATCCTTTGTTTCTATGGTTTTCAGATATCCTCAGTCACCAGATGTTCCAGCTGCCTATCTCCCCGAAATCCAGCTCTGCCTCACTATGGGGACCACAACCTGTAATGGATCAGTGGATGGATCAACAGTCTTCTACCTGGTGGGAATCCCCTCTCTGCCAGAGAGCTTCTTCCTCCCTGTGTTCTTTATTTTCCTCCTCTTCTATCTTCTCATCCTGCTGGGAAATGCCCTGATCCTGGTGACTGTGGTGGCAGAGCCCAGCCTCCACAAGCCCATGTACTTCTTCCTGATCAACCTCTCCACTCTGGACATTCTCTTTACCACAACCACTGTCCCCAAGATGCTGTCCCTGTTCCTGCTTGGAGACCACTTCCTCAGCTTCCCTGCCTGCTTATTGCAAATGTACCTCTTCCAAAGCTTCACATGTTCAGAAGCCTTCATCCTGGTGGTCATGGCCTATGACCGCTATGTGGCTATCTGCCGTCCCCTGCACTACCCTGTCCACATGACCCCACAGACCAATGCTGCCCTGGCAGCCTGCGCCTGGTTTATTGCTCTCCTCCTGCCCATCCCTGCAGTGGTCAAGACCTCCCAGATGGCATATAACAACATTGCTCACATCTACCATTGTTTCTGCGACCACCTGGCTTTGGTTCAGGCCTCCTGCTCTGACACCTTACCCCAGACCCTCATGGGCTTCTGCATCGCCATGGTGGTATCCTTCCTGCCCCTTCTCCTGGTGCTTCTCTCCTATGCCCACATCTTGGCTTCAGTGCTTTGCATCAGCTCCCGAGAAGGACGCTCGAAAGCCTTCTCCACCTGCGGCTCCCACCTCCTGGTGGTTGGCACCTACTA